TGTGTTGGTCATCACAGGATGACCAATACCTCTCCTTCCCTGTGAAATCACCTGCAATCCCTTAAAGAAGAGCCATTACACAGGGCAAAGCTGTGATTCGGATTCAAAGTGAAGCTTCAGCTAAAGGGAGACCAGGCTGACAACGACCTTGAGACCCTCCTGAAGTCTGCAGTAGTGATGGTATGTCAATGAAGTAAGTTGGATCAGCTTCCTAGCACAATTTTTAAGAGCCGCAACACGAGGGAGAGGTGAAAATACATTGCTGGGGCAAGGGCAAGTCAGACAGTCGTAAAACCGTTGCTTAAGTGCTAAATAGATTAACCTGAGAGCTATTCTTTAGAGAGTTCAAGGGGCCGATTTTTTGCTCTCAATTATGCTGAAGTTAAGGAAGTAGGTCTATTGTCACTTCAAGAAGTATTTGACTTCAATTTTTCACTGCAGTTGAATGCAGCAGTGACAGACAAAAGTGCATGAGCAAGATATCCACAAAGCACCACCCCTCCAGACACACACACTCTACTCAGCCTCAGGCTAAATTCTTCCAGCATCGGTTACAACATCAAAATGACAAAACCTGATGGTTCAAGAGAACATCTTTTACTGCCCAGGAAGAGGCACAAAGCAGCAGGTGGCATTTGTTTTTTTCCCTTGTTGAAAGAAGTCAGTCCCCTGCGCTTCAATTACTTACGGCATTTTTCCCATCAGTTAAGTGCAACTCATTTCTGTGATGGCCCGATGCTTCAGCACAGTATGTACCTTGTGGCTGGGAAGGCAAAGCATTTGTCCAGCTTCTTCAAGGCTGCCACTGAGACTGTGTCATAAATCATCTGGCTGGAATAACTCAGGTAAGGCTTAATCCAAAGCCTCCTGAAATCAGTGGAAAGCTTCCCACTGACTTCAGCCAGCTCTGGACCAGGACCTCAGGGCTTTATAAAACCACCGTCCCAGGCACAGGACTCCCTCTGCATCTGAGGAGCCACATAAAGCCTTAGCTTTGCCACAGAGCAGTTAGAGACATAGCACATACCATCACCCAAATGGCTTGTGGGGTCCTATTTTCCCTGACCTTGCACCTGATCAGTGTAAACCACATGCAAAATGCTAGCGGACTAGCACAGTTAACTCTGCCATACTTTGTCCTAGGTTTCCCAGCCTATGCCTGGAAAGCCTTGTTCCCCCATGAGGTAAAAGAGCTGCTGGGTCCCTGTCAGACTGAGCATGCACAATAAATCTGACAGCCTGGGAGAAAGCCGGACAAAGTCCCATATTCCTGTTGTCAGCCACACACCCTCTAGATGGGTCTGCACTGCTGCTCCAAACATCCTGATAAGCCTTCAGAGATCCCAGACAAATACAAATAGTTGAAAAATTCTGGCTGGACAAAATTTATGGGTGGGTGCAGCAAGTCCGTGTGGAGAATCCAGGATGTGTGGGATACCTTGAAATGATAAGAGTTTAAAACGCCAAAAAAAAATGCTAGCTTTCTGAGCTATTGGCAATCTATATCTGAGTTGCTACAGCATGAACTACTAGCCAAGGCATACGCCAGGGGTGAACCGCATTGCTGGTCTTTAAAAGACAAAGCCAGCCTCTCCTCAGGATCAATCCTAAGCATATCAACCCAGACAGCACAACAAAGCATCATTTCCAACAGCTTTCTAATGGAAAAAAAAAAAAAACAACAAACAAACCACAAAGACTAACATCAGCCCTCAAGGATCAAACTTGCACCAAGCATCTCCAAAGATTAGACATAAGTGGCTGGACATCAGTGGCTCCAGCACGACAGACACTTGGGAAGCTGACAGCACGTGTATCATGACCAGTCCTCACACAGTCTCTGGCCTCTGGGGAAGACATAATCTGGTCAAACTACTCCCTCTCAGGCATATGGTACATCAATCCATGCTGCTACAAGGCATCTTCACCCCTTGATCTCTCCTAGGCACGGGCATTAGGCTGGGAAGACAGGCTTTCTGTGTGCCTTTATCCCAGGAAATGGCAAAATGCGTCACTGCAGCTGGCCGATGTAACAGAAGTAACAAATGCTGCTGTTTGATATTGCTGCTTGTGCTTCTGGGTTTACTGTTCAACTCAAAAAAGCCTAAACAGTGTCTGGGAGACCTAGAAAAGATGTTACAGACTACACATAATCATCCGACTGTCCATCTCCCAGCAGAAATGCATACAACCAGCAGTGGTTTCCCGTAGCAAGGCTACAGCACACTGACAGGAGGGTACAGGGAAATGCCCTGGGTCCAAGCAGCAGGTACCAGTGCTCAGAGCTGACAGAGTATTTTCAGTCTCCATGCCGCTCTTTAGGACCACACGATTCACTTGATAAAACACCTGAAAATGTTCAGACACAGGGAGGTCTGGCAAGCAGATTGCTGTGGCTTAAGAAGTGTACCCAAACACGTTGTAGTCATATTTTTAAAGGTGAAGATGATCTCTAAATCCCTAAAAACCTGAATTCACCAAAACCAACCCGGCAAGACCTATTCTTTTGTCAATAACTGCCAAAATGCTGCTGCCCTCAGCTCAACATGAGCAGTGCAATGCAACATGGGCGGGTGCTCAGATCCTCCCTGATGTTGCCCCTCTTGGGGCAGATTTTGGGAGGTCCCATCTCCCAGAGTCACATCTGAACTTGAGAATCAGGCCCTGTTATTGTTAAGGCAAACCAAAAATAAAAAGGCCAGACTAAATTATTTTTAAGATCTCAAGATTTTTAAAGCAGTCTTGTGACTTTTAAGGGGTCTGACTCATGATATTTGAATGCTTGAAGTTGGCAGCAGCAGCGGGAGTACAGCAAGATTTAGCATACAGCAATTTATTGCTAAAAACCTCCAAATGTGTGGGAAAGGGCAAAGAGTGCTTCTGCAGCAATTCAGCAGAAAACAAGGGCCCAAGCCCTTCTCCAGTCAGGCTGCCACTGAGCTTGCCTCCTCCACAAAGAAGGATTTTACCACACAAAATCCCAGCAAAACCACCCCAGACATGGCAAAAACACTTCTGAAAGGCAGTCATGGGTGGGTGGGGAAGACACTGTTTGCCACATAGGCAGCCGTCGCTCTCTGCCCCAACTGCTTGACTTCCCCATCATGCAGGGGCAAGGCATCGCCGTCAGCCTGCAGGGCTCCATGGGGAGGGTTCCTTTGAGGGACATCGGTGAGCTCCTTGCTGCAGCTTTTGCCTCGCTAGGTCTCCAGTTTCCCTGTGCATGATCACAGACCGGAGCTGGACCCACGAGTAAAATTGCAAGCTGCACGATAGCTGACAGATATACCTGAAGTCCTGGATTTCAGCTTCCATGGCAGCAAGGGCAGAGTCCCTTATCCCCAACCCTCTGCAGCTGTCACTGCCTCCGCAAGCTGGCCGCACCACATCGCTGATGCCCAGACCACCCCACAGTCTCTATGCACTCACGTAAGAGCTTGGATGCCTTCACAGGGGAGTTCAAGTAATATTTTTCCATAGCAGAAAACACCTCCCTAACTACACGCCTCCAGCATCCTCCACAGGCCACTCAGGGCCTCCATTAGTGACAAACCCTAAAGTCTCAGCCTTTCCTTGAAAAGATTTTCTTAGAGAAGAAGTACACTAGAAGTATATGACTACCACACACTAGCACAGGCTCTACAATCCCTCCCATGCTGCCCAACAAAAACATATTGCCCCAGGCCTGCGGGGAAACCTTCTGGAACGAGAAGGCAGCTTAGTGCCACGGCACATTTGCTCCTCTGCTGTGTTTTGCAAAGGGAGGCTGCCGCCTCATTTCCCTTTGGCCACCACGCTTCACGTGAGTTTATTTACCTGCACGCAGCACTGCTGCTTTCCAGAGCTCATGGGTTCAGCTTACAGCCTGACGAGAGCTTATATACCCAGTTCTTCATGCAACACTTCCTTCGGAAAGAAAGGCAGCTATTGCATGTTGTCTACCTAGGATTTCCCCCCCGGGTATCATCAACTTCCACCAGAGAGCACTGCTTATGTAGCAGGGCCTTATTAAAAAGCTCAAAGTGGGCAAAATGAATTTGGTATTGCCTTCTGCTCACTTCCATTTAAAACTGCTCTGAAAATGTATTTTCTCCCACAGCATTTAGAACCCGAAACACCATGGTTTGGTCAGCACACGGGAATGACCAGAAATGAAAATGAAGTCCAGTTCAAAATTAAATTAAAAAAAAAGAGAACAAAATGTGCTTAAATCCAAGTTCCATTTTTTTAAAGTCACTGCACTGTTAGTTAACTATATACCAGAGAAGAACTACAAATATAAATAGATCCTGACTTTCTCCCTGCTTACTCCAGTGTAAATCATGGGAAAGTCCATTAAAGTGAACAGAACTGTGCAGGTGTAAAATGGGGTCAGTTAATGAAATGTCATTCCCAGTATTTTCATGCTGCTTCTTTCATAATTTCACATCAAGTTGTTCTCACTTGCACCAAAGTAAATCTCTAATAACTGATAGAAAATCCTGCCCTTGTGGCCCACATAAAGTGTCTGTGAGTAAGATGTGACAGGCAGTACAAATACAACAGCAATTGCACAGTAATGGCAAACAATTCACAGATATGCTATACTACATATACCAAGTGTACCTCAGCTTTCAACTGATATCTTATAATTTTAGCTCTGTGTCTGAAAAGGCAAACACAAGCCCTTCTGCCCAGCACTCACTTTCATGGCATCTGAGCATGAGTTTTCCTATTGGTAATTTCACGTGGCCATAGTCCACCTTCACTGTTTACATTTATCCATATAACAAAATAACTAGAAGCCAGGGCATTTACAACAGCCTAAGGAATTAGACACTAGGCAACCCTGACTTCCAGCCTCTACCACAATATTAACTAAAGCTATTTTATGGCACATACCATTAGCAAGGACTCTTTGCTTAGCTATAGCATACTTTGGAACTTAAGACAAAAATCCTCAAAGCCACTGCTAATCAAAGGCAAGCTACCGGTGCCATTTTCCATACATAATACCTCACCTCTCTGCTTCAAGGCGCATTTCCTCACGCTTTTGCCTCCTGAGTTCTCTGCGGCGTTCAAAGTCATCCATGGTGGGTGTTCAAGCGTTCAGAGCTCTGGAAAGATCCAAATCTAAAAGGAAGATGATCACTTAGAGGAGAGAGAAAACACGATGGATGCATTTAACCAACTGAGTCCATTTAGTTTGGTTTTGCTTTCTTAACTTCACTGTAACTATTTTCTTTTTCCATCAAAAAATTTAACTTCCTCAGTATTGTTGAGATAAACAAGATTAATGAAATGCCTTGTAAGATAAACACAGCCTGCGTTTAGTTTCCTAGTTAAAATTAAATCAACATGCTTTAAGTAAGGACTGTATACATCTGCTAGCCGCAGACTAGCTATTTGTAACGTCACAGGTCTTTTCCACAAACAAAAGCAACAATTCAGCAGTATTTTAACTTCAAGCTTCCAATTTTTCTGGAAGCAGTAAAAATACTGCACAAGAAATTTCTTCTTTTCTTTAGTTGCACAGAGAATTAGAAGTTTTGCAAAAGTTAGTCCTCATCTGTCCATTCCCACCCCCCTAAAAAAAAAAAAAAAAAAAAAAAAAAAAAAAAGGAAAGGGAAAAAGAGAGAAAATGAGAAAAGAAAAATAAGAGAAAAGGAAAAGAAAAAAGAAGGAAAAAAGAAAAGAGAAAAGGAGGAAAATAAGCTGCAGCTTTTAAATACCACCCAGGAGAAGCCAAACTATGTATAAATCCTGCTCAAAGAACCAAAAGTAGCAATATTTTTTTTGTAGTTTAATCCACGCGTTTTCCCCGTGCCCTACCTTATTCTTTATGATTTAGTCCATGAAATATTTTCCCCTTTACAGTTCTTCATATACAAAGCCTTTCCAGCCTTGGTTTATATCCCATCAAGCCGAGTATTACAGAATTCCCCTGCAGCCCCCAAACCAAAAATGACTACCAGAAAAGGGAAAGCTGTTCTCTTTTTGTCCCTGCTTTGTTTACAGAGCTGTCAGTGGTTAGTTAAACTCTGCCTGGAATCTGGCATTTAAGGCCTGCTCTAAGATTGCTTCCTGTGCAGGGCTGGAGGCCTCAGCTTCCTCTGCAATCCTAGCCTAGGCGCTGCACTCAGAGGATTTCCACCCCCCCACACAAGTCCCGTCCCCCCCCC